GGGAAATAAATCCATTCAAACTACAATATCTGACTTTCTGTTGCTCAGAGCGAATGACTTTAAATTGGAAAGTTGATCGGCTTGGCGAGAACAATATACGTGGTAAGTTTTGTAACTGTAGGTAAATTGAGCAAAGTTATAACACACTTTATGTGTCCTTCTTTAGTCATAAAATTCATTTCCTCGCCACGGCCAGACCGTTCGAGATATCAAAAATCCGTCCGGAATTGAGCATCCTCAATGTCTTGACTTCATGCACACCGAGTTTGGTTGTGATTGGTAAACACATGCATTGTGATTTGATGTATTTCTCCTAGGACAATTATTCAAACAACCCATAATTCATAATTCATAAATAACTTCCATTTGAACTGTCATAAAACTTAGAGCACGAAAGTTGTTTGGCCTGATGTGATCTATAATTGTACCGAGTTTCATATTAATTCATGCAAGTGTGTTTGATTTATGGACAAATGTTCGAATCCCAGTCCAGGGGGCGCTGTCGAGCCGCCCTGCCACGCCCGGTTACCAGCTTCAGCCCGGCTCTGATGGCCATGGGTTCTGACCCGTGTGCAAAGTTTCAAGAGTTTTCGAGGATGTTAAGGCCCCCGAAAATGCCAGAGAAGTCGCACACAGCAAATAAAGGGTTAAAATTAACCTGACAGGCGCCCCTCCTCTCACTCACACAGAGGGACACTGAGACACTGGCAAAATTCTGAGATTTTCTCTACATTCAAACAAACATATCTGACTTTCTGTGGGTCCTAGCTAATGAGTGTCAATTAGAAAGTTGTCCGGCTCGAGGAGTACAATATACATACCGATTTTTGTAACTGTAGATAAAACTAACAACCCCACTTTTGTCAAAAGGTGGCGCTACTGAGCCCTCACCACGCCCGTTTCTGAAACTTTGCACGTGTCCACTGGCTAATAAATGTGATGTGTCTGTTGAGTTTCATGCAATTTCAAGCATGCTAAGGGTCTCAAAAGCATCCAAAAAGAATGGTAAAGTTTGATGCGTCACCACGGCAACAGTTTCAAAGATATCAAGAATCCATTCACAGGTCTACATCTGCCGTATGTTTACATTATACATATGAAGTTTGAAGCAAATCGGGTAAAAATAAAAGGGTGATATCAAAGCATTTTGAAAGTGACACACTTCCTGCTGCCAGTTGGTGGCGCTATAACTTTGACTCACAATAGTCACATCCATGTGATCGTCCTCTTACAGCGAACACACTGCTGAAGTTTCATCAAGATCAGTTAATGTATGCTGAAGTTATAACACACTTCCTGTTTCACGTTTCTTGCCATGATTTCGTTTCCTCGCCACGGCCAAACCGTTCGAGATATCAAAAATCCCCTCGCAAACTTTCATCCTCAATGTCTTGACTTCACGCTGACCGAGTTTCGTCGAGTTTGGATCAAAGCTCTAGGAGGAGTATTTGACATTCCATTGCGAGCGTTTTACAAACAAACCTCAATAGCCGACTTCCTGTTGGGCTGGGGTAAAAAGTAAGAGCGCGAGGTATAGATGAAACAATGAGATCAACATGTGTACCGAATTTCATATTATTACATACAAGCGTGTTTGAGTTATGGACCAAGTGTTCGGACCCCGTTCCAGGGGGCGCTGACGAGCCGCCCTGCCACGCCCAGGTACCAGCTTTAGCCCGGCTCTGATGGCCGCGGGTTCTGACCCGTGTGCAAAGTTTCAAGAGTTTTTGAGCATGTTAAGGGCTCCAAAAGTGCCAAAAAGGTAGTAAAATAATAATACTAAAGAAAAATAATCCCAAGGAAAACAATAGGGCCTTCGCCCTTTCAGGGCTTGGGCCCTAATAATAGTGAAGAAAAATAATCCCAAGGAAAACAATAGGGCCTTCGCCCTTTCAGGGCTTGGGCCCTAATAATAATAGTAAAGAAAAATAATCCCAAGGAAAACAATAGGGCCTTCGCCCTTTCAGGGCTTGGGCCCTAACTATGCAACTGTTGTCAGACTGGAAAACTGGTTAAAGAGAAAATATCTGACCAGTGGCCTCTAAAGACAATGGCAAAATTAACATTTGACACCCTAACCCCTTCCTCTGAGCTACATCTCTCTCTCTCTCTCTCTCTCTCTCTCTCTCTCTCTCTCTCTCTCTCTCTCTCTCTCTCTCTCTCTCTCTCAGACAGACTTTGAAGTTATTTTCATTAGAGTTAAAATGAATAGTCGATCATTAATGTATTAATGTATTAAATGATGCACATATATCATTGATAAACCTTTTTAATTGTATGGAGTCCGATGAAACGAGTTAATACATACGATTTAATGTGTTGCATTTAATTTAAAATCACTTTGCCATGGGAAAGACGGAACACGTGTGAAACCTTCACCACGAATCGAATTCCGCCATCGGATTGATTTTGTGTCGACTTTACACTGTCTATTACAGTATCGCATCAGGGGATGCATTGTAGTTTCCCTGAGTAAAAAAATTGGTTCATTTGTTAATATAGGAGAGGAAGAATTTTGCAAACTCGTTAATTCATCTAAATCAACCTGTGGGGCTTATCATGTCTGTGAGTGAATGTGGGTGCGGGAGAGCAGGCACATTCACTGCACTGAAAACACCGTCGGCCAGAGCTGACTGTAACGTTATGTGTGTTGGTTTATTTTTATATTTTTTAAAATAGACTAAAAAACTATGTTGCCATTTGTGGAATTGCATTAGCATGGTTTAAATCATACTTATATAAGTTTGTAGCAGTAAATGAAGAGATGTTTGTTACTTCAAGATGTTATCGATCACAAGTTAAGTATGGCGTACCACAAGGCTCAGAACTAGGACCGCAGCTATTCACTCTGTACATGCTACCCTTGGGAGATATCATTAGGAAACATGAAATTAGCTTTCACTGTTATGCTGATGATACTGAGCTGTATATTTCTTCAAAACCAAACGAAACTTACCAATTCACAAAATTAACGGAATGCATAGCTGATATAAAAAAAAAGGATGACTATTTAATTTCCTACTACTGAATTCTGAAAAAAAACTGAGATTCTAATTATTGGACAAAAAATTCCACACGTAACAGCCTAGAATACTGTTTAACACTTGATGGCTGCTCTGTTAAGTCTTCGTCGTCGGTTAAGAACCTGGGTGTGCTTTTTTACACCAATCTCTCATTTGAAAGTCACATGTCTAGTAACTGTAAAACTGCATTTTTCCATCTTAAAAATAGAGTACCAGGAAGTATGACCATATTAGCCCGGTTCTGTCAACCCGCATTGGCTGCCTATTAAACATCGTATACATTTTAAAATATTGCTGATTACTTACAAAGCACTAAATGGTTTAGCTCCCCAGTACTTGAGCGAGCTCTTAACGCATTATAGTCCTTTACGTCTATTGCGATCTCGGAATTCTGGCCAGTTGATAATACCTAGAATATCTACATCGACTGCATGCGGTAGATCCTTTTCCTATTTAGCACCAAAACTCTGGAACAATCTTCCTAAAGTTGTCCAGGAAGCAGACACACTCCGTCAGTTCAAAGCTAGACTAAAAAACTCTTTGGCCTTGCATACACGCAACACAATATAGAAAATATTAATATTCCTTAATTCAAAATTAGGCTGCATAGTTTAGATCAGCTGGAACCGGGAACACGTCCCGTAAATCCTGATCATAAGAAGGATCTGTATTGTAAAAAGTGCTATATAAATAAAGGTGACACACACACACACACACACATATATAGATGCAGTATATAGATATATAGATTATATATAGGATATATCTAATGTAATCATTTAAGCCAGTCATGTAATCATTTAACTGTTTTGTTACCATTTAATTACAGATTCTATTTGTAATTTTACATACATTTTTATGTAATTTAAGAAAACAGAAAAATACTGTATGAAAAATACAATCAATTTCTGTAAAAAAATGTGAATGACTGGAATTTGTCTTTAATGTAACAATACCTAAAAAAATCAGCTGCATTTTTATTTTGCAGATATTATTTTTAATTTTACAGTGTTTTGAGTACAATTTAAAATACAGTACATTTACTTTGTTACATTTACTTGAGAATTTTTTTTTTTTTTTAAACTTTACTTTTAAGAGTAGATTTAAATGTTGGTACTTTAACTCAACATTTCTAATGAAAAAACTGTACTTTTACTTTATTACATTGGGCAACATTCCTCTCGTTACTTTATTTTAATGCAAAATGTTGTTAAATGCTAGTTTATTCTAAGTACGCTCAAAAACACGGCAGGCAAAAACATTTCACAGGTCAATTTTGAGATTTTGGTCTATTTGTCTTCAATAACATGTCTTCTTTTATTGAAGCTGAAAAAAACAGACTTCTGCTGAAAAAAAAAATCCAAAATACACATTTAGGTCATTATTATACTACACTTTGTCAATTTACATGTGTACATTTTGCCTAAATTAATCAAAAGTTGGCGTGTTCTAAATCCTCCAGTGATCGCTGTCTGCACCCTGTCATATACTGTTAGAAAGTTCTCTCTCTCTCCTTTAAATAGGGAAAACATGGAGGTGTGTGGTCGCTTCTATCTCTGTTTGGATCCTAATGAATGAACCGGGCTAAGTGTTGCCGTGTTTGAATGATCTGTTCAGTTTTCTGCACGCTCTGAATCGTCTGATGCGTCTGAATCGTCGTAGAAGGAAGATTTAAGAACATCAAGTGTTGGATGAAGTGGCCGTGGACCTAAAGTCAAGTGAAATCAATTATGCATGCCAATTTTGTTAACCAGCGATGAAAATCTTTTTAGTTAAACATCTTCTATCTAAAATAATTCTATTTGGGTTACCCAAGCAAAGCCTAAGCAACAGCCCATAAAAACACACATAGGGCCCACGTGTTGGTTGGGATGTTGCATGCAGCAAAACATTTTTGGGGAACATTGTTATTTCACTGAAAGCATTATTCATCTGAGATACACTACTTAAAATTAGCAAGTTAATGTTTATACTAACGGAGGTTTAGAGGTCACTGGTCCATCACTGATTTCAGGTGGTTGCATCATGGATTTGTTACTCTTCAGAGACACACCGCTGGGTTCTGGAGACTCTGATCTCCTGTTGACAAATGACAAAACAAAACAGCGCTTGATTTACATTTGTTCATTTAGAAGTAGCTTTTTTTCTAAAGTGCTTTTCAAATAAAAAAAAAATACAATTGTATTTCCCCAGCAAAATCCCCAAATTAACACTCCCAGTGTTTATATGAGTCCACACTCACGCTCCAAAAAATGATACGTTGACTTTAAATAACTTTTTATGTAAACAGGTTCCACATAACTGGGTTACATTTAACAAACATAATTTGTTCATGTAACTTCAACAATGGAATTAAAGCTGCAAGCAGCGATGAAAGGGCCCTCGCAACCGTGCTATTCCCACCCAGTGCAGTCAGAATCGTCTGATGCGGTTTTACACTCGTAGAAGGAGTATTTAAGAACATCAAGAGTTGGATGAAGTGGCCGGGGACCTACAGTCAAGTGAAATCAATTATGCATGCCAATTTTGTTATGAAAAATTGGCATGCATGAAGCGATCATCCAGCGATGAAGATCTTTTTAGTTGAAAAACAACTTCATATGCAGTGGACAGTGTTAGGAACGTTACTTTAAAAAAAAGTACTTAGTTGTAATTACTCACTACTTGTTCCAAAAAGTTGTTGAATTACTCTACTGAATTACTTAAAAATCATGGAATTAAATCATTTTAAGCAACCCAACTCAGGGGCTCTTACACTGGGCTCGTTTGCTGCGGTCCGAGCCGGAACACGTTTGTTCCTGGAGCACCCCGCAGCAATGGTCTGGTTTGACACTCAACTTGATTCTATCGAACCCTGGTGCGTTTGCGTGCATCTTACGTCATCGCAAACGTGCGCGGCGCATGATAGAAAGCAGAACGTGGTAAATATTGTGGGTTTTTTTTATTATTTATTTTTTTATTTGCTGCTATTATGAGCAGTTGAGTGCACAATACAGGTTTACTGTGCGTGTGTCGCATAAGGTGGACTTCTGCTGCTTGCAAACAGACTCTTTTGAGGAGACAGTGGATTTCCAAATGTGTTGCTCTGATTCCACACGCAATGCACGGAGACACTGCAGGCTCACTCTCCCTCGTATAGACCATTTCACAAGATGTAAACAACACTGGTCCAGAAACACTTCCTGTTTCAGTTTGTAACTGTTTTCTTTATTTCACATGTAAAGAAAACATCTTAAAGATGTTTGTTTAACTTTTTGATTCAGTTTTAAATGTTCTGTTGGTTGTATTTTATCCCAGCTTTTATGTAGTGCTGAAAAACTGAAACAGGAAGTGCTTCTGGACCAGTGTTGTTTACATCTTGTGAAATGGTCTATACAAGGTAAATCATCAACACTATCAT